ACGGCCCAAAGAGGCCCCCCCGAGGCACCCAAGACGCCGAAAAGCCCATCAGGACGACCCTCTACTCGCCTGGGCGTCGTTTCTGGACGGGCTGGTGGGGATACGCGAAGTGTCTAGAATTTTATCCGCATCTTCTTCTCCGCCGACTCGGCATGCACTGGAAGACGGGCTACCGGCCTGCAGCCGGTAGCGTCTCTCCTCTTTGGAAGCCATGCGCAAAGGAAATATTGCCGTCTGGCGCTGTCGGAGCGCAAGCCCTGAATGCGAAGCTGGACGTCGGCTCGCATGAGCTGTCGAACGATGTTCTCGTCCATGGAGGCACGGATCCATTGGTGCACATCCGCCAAGGACTTGACCTGAATGGCGCAGGCCCCCCCATGCCTTTGTGACTCAGCGCGTATGTGGCAGGGGTCAGCGCAGCAATTGTTGGGGAGATCTTGGTAGCAGCTCGAACAATGACGCCGCGCAGTCTGCAAATCTGCTGCGCCAAACTGGATTAGCTGCCGAAGGCGGTTGCGGGCGTTGCCACCAGCGCTCAATTCTCGACCGAGATCACGGACAGCATAATTCGGAACCGGATGAACGCGATCGGTGGCCAGATCGTGAGCCAGAGATTCCAATCCCTTCTCAGTCATCAGATCGGAAAGACCCCCTGCCGAGATCTGATCGCGAGCACGGCGTGCTGAGGCCATGCCCTGATGCTCCGTCAATAGCCGCCCTGCAGTGGCGCGTGCATCTCTAATTCCTTGTCCCGTGCATCTCGCTCGCTGCCCTCGCTCAGACCGTCATCAGAGTCGGCCCGACAGCAATCGGCAGTTGTTCCTGGGTCGGAGCAACGGCGGGCACAGAGCTACCAGGGTCGGGGGCAGGGCCACTGGGCACGGAGACGTCCGTCGGCATCGTGCCCATCCCTCCTCCGCAGCGAGAGGGCGGGAGGGGGAGGGAGGACGGAGGCAAGCAAGCAAGCAAGATATCCAAGCATCCTGAAGGACGCATGAGCTGGTTGGCAAGGACACTCGCGGTTGCTGCCAGGATTCGCTGTGGAGGGCGGGGGGAGGATTGCCGAGGGTGCTGAGCGCGGGGGGTCCTGGCTGTCATCATGCGCGTAAGATGACCTGGTACCTTCAGAACGCATGGGAGTCTGAACGCGCTGCCATGGTCCGTAGGTCCGTGGAGTCGTTGCAGGAGGCATGTCTCCCGATCAGCGCAAGTTTGACTGCAAGCGTGTGTGTAATGTCAAGAGCTAGAGGTGCATGCGTGATGATGTGAACCCTCAGCGTTGTCTTTGGCAGTTCATGTGCAAGTCCACCAGTAACAGGCCAGCGAACTTTTGAAGCACGAAGCGCTGCTGAGTTTGAGCTATACATTGTTGTCAGCAGGGCAAAGGTATCTTTTTGACCTGGTTGAGTTGTCGCCACCACCAGAGTCCAGCAAGCTCCAGCACCGAGATTCAAATTGCCCTTCCGAGGAGGCAAATGTGACATAAATGAAGCAGCTGGAGTCTGGACAGTACTTTCGCTGATTCGTAAAATGTGGTTCGCTTGAATAAGCTCGATGACTGTTGGAAACGAGCTTGGCTGAAGTCATGGAATGCATGGCTCATGAAATTGCAAGCGCAAGACTGCACCTGGCGCAGAGTTGAAAAGGGCCGATCGCCGTAGTGAGGCATGCGTACGCAGCGCAGGACCTCGCACTGGAATGCGATCAGGCCAAGCATGTGAAAGCCTTCAGGGTGGCCGTCAGGACACGCTCAGCCTCGCAAGCGAACATCTTCGGGGGGGATGCTCATGAATTTGCGCACTGGTGCCACGACGCTGAGGCATAGCCCGTCACATGTTGATGGCCCCAACAAACTTCAACCATCCTGGCAAACGGTCGTGTCTGAGCATGGCTTTGCGAATCGTGCCGCTGTGTTCAATTCGGGGGCGCGTGCTGAGCAGAGCAAACACCCATCGCATGTCTGAAAGACTGTGCAGAATATCGAAGAGACGGGTGTGGTCTCGCTCACGGTGGCTGCCACTGAATGTCTCAGGGGCCGTACGCACGCTGCCACTAAGAACAGAGTTCCCAAGAGCTGCTTCGATCGAAGCCTCGCAGCAGTGCTTTAACACGACATTTCCAAACTGCAAGTTCGACCCCGTGAGGGATCGAGGGAGTTTCGAGGCCATATTCTTTCGGCCTGCTCCGCCTTGGCTGCAAGGCCTCCTGTCCCACTCCCCAGGGTGGTGCCCGTGTGCCCGTCCTGGAGCCTGATCCCCCCCTGTCGACGAATGGTTTTGTTTTGGAACCCTTGGGCGTCGAATACCCACCGTGGAGAGTTGTTCAACGAGACCGTGTCATGGGTAAACTGGTGCACTTTATGCATGATGCATGAGTTGTTGCGCAAAGGGCGCTTCACTGTTTGTTATCTCTGTGGATTCTGGGCCACCCAGCGCCAAGTCAGTTTGATTGCTGGCTACCAGAAAACCTTTGAGGCTCCCCCAGCCATCTCCCCCAAGCAGCAGCAGGCCGCTTGCCCGCAAGCGCCTGCCTCTGCAGCAGGTGGCACAAGAGCCGGGAGAGGTTGAGGCTGATGCCCCTGGTCGTAAATGATCTGCCTGACGAGTTAAAACGAAGTGTCTCAGCTTTGCTCTGTGTTGTACACAATCGATACATACCCTTCCCGAACGCGATGTGGCCAGGATGTCGTGGCGAGTCCGACCGTGGCGAGAAGGGCTCCACAAAATGCACAGTAACAACGAAAGTCTACAAATCCGTCATCATTACTCTCCTTCCTCTCATCCTCGTCTCGGACAAGTAAGCGACGAAAAGAAAATGGTCTTACGTACGACGGCACAGTGACCTTACACGGCGGCTTACGCGGGCCACTAGCGTGGCACACCGCGTGAAGAGGTAGGCGCTTACGCGCGGCCTCACGTGGGAAATGTACGCACGACTACCCCCGCAATCGGCACTGATTTCTTCCGTCGCTCAAGTGATGGTGAGGCCTGCGTTGAGCAGAGCTTCCACAGTAACTGCGAGACTAGGGGGAAACGCAGGAGGAGAAGGTAACAGGAACGAGGGCGAAAAGGAGGGAAGGGAGGAGGAAGAAGCAGGAAGAGGAGGGAGAGGAGGGGCGGAATGGGAGGAGGGGAAAGAATGAGGGAAGAGGGAGCAAGAGGAGCAGGAGGAGAGCGAGGGAAGATGAGGGAGGCGAGGACGTGCACGTCCAAATGGTGGCTCACCCTCCTGGTGCCCGCCGAGCATTCCCAGATAGACATCCGACGCGATGATGCTGCTCAATCCGCGCCCCTCAGGTCCCGACCGCTGCCCCACGGGCAATGTTTGGCCCATCCAAGCTTTTGATGGCGCCCCGGGCCCGATAGTATCCTCTGGGGAACGAGATCCAGGAAACACGCCCAGCATTGAGGAAATCTGACCCTGGAGATCTGGGTAGGGAAAAGAACTCTACATACACAGACGCAATTTCCAGCCCTGCACTGACATTCACACAGAAAAGCGAATCCTGGTGTATACGGGATCCTGGTGTATGTGTGCTTCGATTTCCCCTGGGAAAACAAGGGAAAACAAAGTGTACACCACACCACCCCGACGTCGTCCCCGACCCTCACCTCAAAAAGTCCTAGGATTGAAAAACAGCCCGCCAGTGGTAATGTACATGCTCCAACTTCCGACTGAGGATCTGGGGGCACTTTTCTCTGCGGCATCGGTCGAAGCTGCGCCGTGCCAAGCCAGCTGCGACCGCACCGAGGCGACCAGCCCCAGGAACTCCTCCCGGCCAAGGCCGGGGAGCGGGCTGGCCTGAGAGGGCAGAAAATCACCCCCCACAGGAAGCACCCCGATGAGCGAGGCTAGAGGCCTCCTAGATGGGGTCCGAGTAGATGGGGTCGGAGGATCTCGCCGCATCGCCGATGCATCGGCGATGTACTTGCGACGTCGGCGGTGCATGGCGACGTCGGCGTGGAGAAAATTGGGCCCCACATCGAGCCGCATCGCCGCTGCATCGGCGAATCAGCGCGATCCTCCGACCCCATCCACTCCGACCCCATCCAGGAGGCCTAGAAAAAAGCACCCCGACAAGCGAGGCCGTTCAGTAAACGCTCCCAAGGAAGGAATCGAACAGGGCCGGGCTGTTTAGTATACACCCAAGGTCGTGCCCTGAGATCTGGCGTAGCGAAACAAAAACAACATCGTAAAAAACACGCCCAGAGCCCTAGACCCCTTCTTTCCGCCTCATGTTTCGAGCCGGGTCGATCTCTGAGTGTCCCAGGGCCCGAAAAAAAGAGCGACAGCGCCCCGGTTCGAAAACATTGAGACGCCAGGATCTCAGGGTTCAGCAAACGCTAGTTATCGAGGTCTGGGTGGATTTTCCTCTCCTGAGGCCTGCACAAGGGAGAACCACCCGCGGGGCGCCGCGGGCGTGGCGAAGAGGGCGTCGTGGGGCCCGGCGGCGGCCGTGGCGTGGACCGAGAAGGCCCGCCAGCCAGGAAACCGCGCCTCCTCGGAGGGGTGAAGGCCATGAGAGGCATATCAGGAGGCAGCTACTGGGAGGTCTTCGTCGCTCGAGACCGATAAGACGAAGCCAGGACGAGGATAAAATCTAGAAGAAGAAGAAGAAGAAGAAGAAGAAGAAGGAGAACCGCCATAAACATAAACTGTTGGCACTCTGCGCGGATTTCTTGGATCTGTGCTGGACCCCCCTCCCTGGCGCGCGGAGCGCGCGCGGAGCGCCAAACGTTTAGGCTGTTTGCGTTTTGTTGTTCTTCGAAAATCGGGTGAGGATAAATTGGAAGTCTCTGAGGTGCGGCAGCTGGGGAGGATGTATCGGGCGCCGCGGCCCTCTCAGAGCGCTCCGGACCGTTCTGAAAGCGTCCCAGAACGCTCTGGAACGGATTTATCCTCATCCTGACCCCGTCCGTAAGAAGCACACTAACAGGCAACTACAAGATGTCTTCGTCGAAAGGAGTAAAGAGGATTAAGCCCAGTTGGGGGGCTGCTACGGCGGACTAGGCCGCGGATCCAGCGGGATCAGGCCAGATGAAGCGGGGTTCAGCTGGATGAAGCGGGATTCAGGCAGATTTCGAACCAGGACAAAATCAGAATTTGACCTGCCAGGAGTTGCATCCGAAATGGACTGTGGGAGGTCCCCGCGGATTTCTCGCTCTCTCTGGCGCGCTCCGCGCGCCAGGCTGGGGGGGCCCAAGCGCCGATCCGAGAAAGCCGCGAGGAGCGCCGAAAAGCCGTGCTTGTGATGCTTGGTTTGTCCTCGAGTCTCCGCGGCGGTAACCTCGCAGGGGAAGGCGCCCGTCCTGGGCGGCCAGGGGACCTCCTGCCGGCTTGGCCCCAGGCGGCGAACGTGCCGGATCCAGACGTAATGATCCCGAGACGATGCCGCCGGGAAATAAAGGGCGAGTATTTCCACGGGATCTGGAGGAACAAACATCTGCATAAGCATAAACTTTCCGAGGTCTGGGCGGGCGTCTCGGATCGGCGCTGGGCCCCCTCCCCAACTGACGCGCGAGAGCGCGCCAGGGGCAGCGCCCAAAGCGCCGCCTGCGGGGGGGGGGAGGGCCGGCGCCGATCCGAGAAAGCCGCGCGGAGCACAGAGGGTTTATGATCGTGAATGCTTTCTTCCTTCGAGGATCTGCTGCCCCATCAATGACGCCGACGCTGTCCAGGGCGTAGCCGGCGAGGTCGACGGGCGACACGCACTCGCCTGGGAGGCGGGCGCTGGAGGAGCCGCAGCGCCACCGCGCGGGCGCCCTTGGGCCCAGGCCAAAGTTCCAGAGGAAGCCTTCGAACAGGGAGCTCACGCCAAGGAACGTGACGTGCTCGGCATGTGTTGGGGGCGCGCGCGAAGGCGCGGCGCGGGGGTGGGCTTCCAAGATGGCGGTGGGCCTTGGAAGCCAAAGGCCCTCTCAGATGGCCCCGGGGGCTTCTGCGAGGACTTCTCAAAGCAGCCGGGCCCTTCCAGGGAGGCCCGTGCCTTCTGAGGAACTCCGTCCCCCTCTTAATGGGGCACCAAACGGTACCGACACCGCTCCTCCCCGACCTCTCCCGGGGTGCGTTCTGACCAGGACCTCGAGGGTGGCGACGAGGACCGCCCAGAAGGCACAAAAAGGGGAAAACGAGTAACAGGTAGATCTTAGAAGCCCAACCCCCTCGTGATGGGCCGATTTGCCACCACCACCACCACTACCATAAGCAGGAGAGGGAGGAGGTGGAGAGGGAGGAGAAAGAGGAGGAGGATGAGGAGGAGGACCAGTGTAAACCCAAGGGTCATCAGAGATGTTGGAATAAACCTTCAAGTCCCCTCTTCATCGGCCCCTACAACGGTTCATTTCATTGAGAGAACTGCCTCGTTGGAAGACAACCGTTTGAAGATCCTAGAGCATGCCAACACATTGTTCTCGGGATTGCAACCCCACGGGTCAACCTGACTGCTGCGTCTTGACGATCCCGAATCGTGCCAGAACGCCAATGTTGGGACTTCAACACCACGAATCAACATAACGGTTGAACCAGCATCATCCTGAATCATTCCAAAAAAAACATCTCTGGTACCCTGACCATGGACATCCGTGAAACTCTTCCACATGTTATGAACGAATGTGCGCGGCCCTGAGGCGAGAGCAACAATTTGAAAAAGACCTGTCATCAATCAGTGAAGCTCTTGCAACTTTGTATGTGCGCGGCGCTAAGCCGAGAACCACATTTTGAAAACGGCCCGCCCTCAATCCGTGAAATGCTTGCAAATGTTAGATATTAAAACGAATGTGCGCGACGCTAAGGCGAGAGCCACATTTTGAAAACGACCCGCCCTCCATCTGTGACACTGCTGTCACGTTAAATTTCAGAGTCGTAAATGGTGAGGAACTCTCAGGCGAGACGCCCGGTCCGCCCTGAAAACTGGCCTCGGGATGCGGCAGGGAGAAGTTATCTATGAGGAGAAGGAATGGAGGAGGAGAGGAGAGGATGAGAAGGACGAGGAGGAGGACCTCCCGATCATCCCTTCCCCCCCGTCCTACATATGGTAACAGTGGTGGAGAAGTGGCCCATCACCTATCACCTCGCCCCAGCCCCCTCGTGGGCGCCGCCAGCATGTGGATGGCGCGCCCAGTAGCACCTCTCGGCGAATGGCTGCCGAAACAGCTGCTCGGCACGCGCCGCGGACGCGACCGGCCGCAGCGAGCAGACCAGCTCCACGAGCTCGGCGTCGTCGAAGGCGCCCTCCGTGACGCGCACCTAGGAGGCCCCATGCGAACCCTCCTCCTCCTCCTCCTCCTCCTCCTCCTCCCTCCTCCTCCTCCCTCCCTCCTCCTCCTCCTCTCTCCTCCTCCTCCTCCTCCTCCTCCTCCTCCTCCTCCTCCTCCTTCCTTCTCTCCTCCTCCTCCTCTCCTCTCCTCCTCCTCCTCCTCCTCCTCTCTTCTCCTACCTCCTCCTCCTCCTCCCTCCTCCTCCTCCTCCTCCTCCTCCTCCTCCTCCTCCTCCTCCTCCGCCTCCTCCTCCTCCTCCTCTCCTCCTCCTCCTCCTCCTCCTCCTCCTCCTCCTCCCCTCCTCCACACGCGAACCCTACCCCACCACTCCACCTCCCCACGTCGAAATCGTGGGGTGGTGGGCCAGTGTTCGCATGGGGCCTCCTAGCACCTCCACCATGGTGCCGCAGAGGAAGGCGGCCGCGCACGTCTGACCCGCGTAATCGACGCCGATGCAGCCGCAGCTCCTGCTGCCGACGTCGAACATGACCCGAGGGCCCGGAGTGTTGCGCGTCTCTGCAGGGAAAGAGACCGACGACCATGACCAAGCCTGAGCGCGGACACGTCGGTGCCGATCACGGACGTCGCCCATCTTGGTTATCGTCAATGCGCGGATCTTACCCGCGAATCGGCAGCGGTCGGCATGGACCATGACCAAGAATGGCGGTGACGGTGACGGCGACGGTGCCCGCAAGAGTGTCCGCGCGAGGGGACTAAGCGGGGCGAGGCTAGAGCGCCGGAAACAGCAGACTCGCCGACCCTCTGGCGTGTGGGAGAGGCTTTTCCGTTTTCGTCGTCGCCGTCGTCGTCACCGTCGCCGTCGAAGTCGCCGTCGCCGTCGCCGTCGCAGTCGCCGTCGCGGTTGCCGTCGTCGCCGTCGTCGTCGTCGGCCCCGAGAAAATTAGGGAACAAGGACATTGGATGACGTCGTAGCTAAATCGGAGGGAAGTCCCGTCCCTTCGATCCATTCCCTGCGGAGGGGGGGTGGGGGTCCTGTAGGGGGGGGGTCCCGGGAGGGGAGCCCCGGGATGGGGGGTAGCGGAAGAGCAGGGGCCCGAGTCATAATACCGCCCCCCGCGGGAGTCCCGGAGCCCTCAAACCTCAAGGCCCTCCACTTCCGCCTTCCATGTCTTCCGACCTCCGCGGAAGGTGCGGGAGAATTCGTCGAAACTCATGGGGGCCTTACGCAGCTCTAGGAAACCCGCACACAGTCGACCCGTAGCATGAAGACGCGCGATAAGGATACAAGGGCCTGGGAGGACCATTTCGAAGCTTTTCCAGCGGAGCGCGGCTAACGAAAGTGGCCAAGGATGACCCGAGGAGGCAACGATGCAAGGGTAGCCTTGGGAAGGTTGCCCATCCTTACTATGCGGGTGGACTGTAGATCATATCGCAAGAAGGGCGGAAAGTTAGGGCGGAAGGTGCGGAAGAATGAGGGGGAGGCGAGGCGAAGCGAGGCAAGGCGCTGGTCAGTCGTCTCGGGGGACGGCCCTACGAGATCCCCGCGGTGATGCCAGGAGCGCCGAGAAAAAATGCTGTTCGAAGGGGGAGGAGAAAGAAGGGGACGACTCAGGCCTTGGTGTTGCAGTTTGGGGGAGGGGACGGGCTGAGAGGGCCCCGAAAGGCCCCCTAAGACGGTCCAAGAGGGCCCCGAGTCGCCGAGCGCTCTGCCCAAGACGCCCGAAGGCAGCCTCCCGACAGCCCAAGAGACCACCAACACCCCACAAGAGCCCTCCAAGCGAGGCAACTTCATTGATTTTGGTAGACTGATTGATAGATTGTTTGATCGATTGTGGTAGTTGTTGGTAGATTCTGGCCCTCCCCCAAGCTTTCAATAGATTTTGGCGTTCTCGCCTTCTCGCTTCCCGACGCTCCAAGACGGCCTAACAGGCCCCCAAGATTACCCCAAGACGGCCCACTAGGCTCCCACAGATGGCCCCCCAGAACCCCACAGAGGCCCCCAAGAGGCTCCCAAGAGGCCTCCAAGTGGACCCCAAGAGGCTCCACGAGTGCCCCAAAGAGGCCCCCGAGAGCACTCCGAAGGCACGCCAAAAAGCATCCCTGAGGAATCTTACGCACGTCAGCGTCGTCGTCGTCGCCGTCGCCGTCGTCGTCCCCCTTCAGGGTCGGCGGCACCAACCGTAAGGCCTTCGAAATAATCTGAAGCGATAGGTACGGGTATCGCGGCTGGCGGGCTCATTCATTACAGAAGCATCTCGACAATATCTCGCGACATATGGCCATGGTCAGCGCACTTCCTTCCTCGGAGCCTTTGTCGTGTAGGTGCCAGTCGGGGGGCACAGCGCGGGGTGAGTGTGCCCAGTCGGGAAGACCGGCGGCTCGCACAAGGGGGTCGGGTGAGGGGGAAGGCCTCTGCGAAGGAGGCTGCTTCTTAGAAGGCTCCGGCCCTCTCATCTACAGACAACGTCCGCGCCTTCTAAGAAGCAGAAATGCTTATATGAAGCCTCCACAAACAAACAACATGAATGCAACGTACTCTCCCTCCTCCCCTGAAATAGTCTGAAAGATCTCCCGCACCCCTCACACCTGCACCCGATTCGGCACACCCCTCACACGCTTCGTGGCCTCATAGGGAGCTTCACCGAAGGCCCCAGCGGCTCAGTCCGCTTAGAGCACCTGCACCCGATGCGGCACACCCCTCACAAGTGGCGTGGCCCTGTAGGGAGCTCACCCGAAGGCCCCGGTGGCACAGTCCGCATGACGTACCCGCACCCGATGCGGCACACTCCTCACACGTTTCGTGACCCCACAAGGAGCCCCAGTGAAGGCTCGAGTGGCAGCGTCCGCATGGCGTACCCGCACCCATTTCGGCACACCCCTCACATGCTTCGTGGCCCTCTGGGGAGCTACGACGAAGGCCCCAGCAGCTCAGTCCGCATGGCGTACCCGCACCCGATTTGGCAAACCCGTCACACGCTTCGTAGCTCCATAGGGAGCTCCACCAAAGGCCCCAGTGGCAGCGCCCGCATGGCGGCCCCGACCCCATTCCGCACATCCCCCACACGCTTCGTGGCCCCATAAGGAGGTCCTCCGAAGGCAGTACACACAATGACGATACCCACAACTTCATGTGGTTGGGTCTTTAGCTGGGGTAATGTTGTTCCTATGGCTGTTTGAATACCAACAGTTTTCGACGTGTTAAGATGGTGCTCCCGCAGCAAAGTGGGCCTCATTTTCGGATTGGCGCGTTGCTCCCGTCGCTCTGAATGGCGTTCTCGCCCGAGCGCGGGCCACTTTTCTGGATCTGAGCCTTGCTTCATTGTGGTCCCCCTCATCAGTTCCCTTCTTCCGCCTTCCCCTGCTCCTCCTGTTCCTCCCGCTCCTTCCACTCCAATTCCTGCTGCTGCTGTTCGTCTCGCCCTAGCGCGAGCCACTTTTCTGGATCTCAAACTTATTTCATCGTTGTCGCCCTTCTCATTTCCCCTCCTCCGCCTTCTCGTGGTCCACCTTTCCCTCCACATCCTTCCGCTTTAGTTTCTTCTGCTACTACTGCTGCTCGTCCCCATCCTTTTCCTCCCGCTCATCCTCCTGCTCATCTGCCACCTCCTCCCCCTTCGCGTGCAGCTCCCCTCTTTCCGGCTGCGTCACGGACTTCTTGTGTGGGAACGCCACGCTTTCCACAGCAAAACCACCGAAATCTGAGAGAACCCAAGGCACCCTGGAGGCAAGCAAGGGGTTCCTTGGCATGGGTCTCCACGTATCCACTGTATCTCAGCTCCCCCCTGTTGAGCAGAGACCGACCGTCCCGGCATTCCTATAGTCCTACCACGAAATGTTCTTAGAATCCCAAAATGTTCTATGAACAAAAACAATGTGCTTAGAACATAAACCCGATGTGTAAAACCAAGACAGCCCCAACCAGGAATGTTCTGAGAACATTTCGTGGGAACAGCAGAAGGTTCCTAGAACACTGTTTGCTAGGAGGACTGTAGGCACGCCGGGACGCTTCGCCAGTGCTTGACCCTGGGCCCGCCGCCGAGCAGAAGTCGGGCAGATACTGCTTCACCCGCAGCCCGCGCGCGGCGCCCGCCTCGGACCCACGACCGGCAACGAACAGCAGCACCGACCGGGGAGGCGGTAAGGACGCGGGTTCGGCGGGCTCGGGCTGGCCCGACGGGGACATGACAAAACTACCAGCCCAGAACATATCCCTATCCCTATGTTGGGCATCGCCTCATCACGATGGCGATCTTAGGGGTTCCCTCAGTTTCTGAGGGTGCATCCCGAAGACTGTCATCGCCTTTTGGCGTGTCAGTCTCAGGGATAGGGGTAAGTTCGAGGCTGGTGATGGGAGACGGTCGAGGCCCAGACTGAAACTGGGGGCGAGCTCCCGCTGCAAATGCCCCACGAGAACTGGATCCTCCAAATCCAGGACGGGCCCGACCAAGGGCGCAGAAGCAGTCGGCCTCGGACAAGGAAATCGGATCGGATCGCAACGTGTATCGAATCGGCCCGCACCGAGCTCAGACTCGCCATCGAATCGGATCGGCGGCGCCTGGATGCATAACAACGCCATGCAAACGTCGGATCGCACGAAAATCAACTCGAATCGAACCGGCCAGAGCCGATATCGAATCGGACCGATCGGATCGAGATGGAATCTGAAAGCGTCGGCAAAGCCGAAGCTGGGCAAACCAAAAAGTACCGATACCGCTACTCCCCACACCTCTCTCAGGGTGCATTCTGACCAGGAGTTCGAGGCGAATCCAGCGGTGGCGACGAGGGCCTCCCAGGAGGCCAAAACAAACGAAAACAAAGAGAGGGTAACAATATGGGTACCTTTTCTTCCTCTGAGAGCCCTGGAGAACTCGAGCCGTACGCCTCCCCGCGCAGAGCAAGGGCGCATCGTCGTCCACGTGGCCGCGCCGACCCGCGCCGTGGATCCAGAGGCTGGTAGACCGAGAGACGGGCTGGATGCTGCCAAAAACACCCCCCAGACATTGGAGGCGCCCCGGAATGGGCGAAAAGAGGAAACCGCTCATGTGCGAGATGACAGAGCGCCCTCACGCCGCAGCTTTCGCGGGCCACCCGCGCGGCACGCTAACCCCAGAGGGTCTCTAGAACCCCCCCCAATAAGGGGCTAACTAATTGATTGTTTCGGCGGCCTTATTGAAGGACTGGGGCCCCACCAATATGGAGTGACCAACTGTTTTTGCCCGCGAAACCCGCAGCGCTACAACGACAACGACAGCTACGACAGCGATTGCGACTGTAACTACAACTACGACTACGACCATGACTACGACTACGACTACGATTACTACTACTATTACTATTACTATTACTATTACTATTACTATTACTATTACTATTACTATTACTATTACTATTACTATTACTATTACTATTACTATTACTATTACTATTACTACTACTACTACTACTACTACTACGACTACTATTACTACTACTACTATTACTACTACTACTACTTCTTCTACTACTTCTTCTACTACTACTACTACTACTACGACTACACTACTACTACTACTACTACTACTACTACTACTACTACTACTACTACTACTACTACTACTACTACTACTACTGATCCGACAACGACTACTACTACTACAACTACTACGACTACTACTACTACTACTACGACATCAGCTACACCTACAACAGCAACAACAACAACAACAACAATCATTTTACCCGAACGCTCAGTGTTCTCCCCAGTGCCAGGGTTTCCATGCGACGCCAGCCAATACCCCCACTTCGTGGGGGGGCAATGCAAGCTCTACCAAACATCCACACGACTCTCGGGAACCA